TCAGCACCATCATAACTTTGGAGGGTAATAATAATAATAATAACAACACTAATAATAATAATAATAATAATAATAATAATAATAATAAAAACAATTGTCGATAAGAAAGACAAAAAAGTCTGGATAGTGGACGTGGCAGTGTCTGGAGACAGCAGAATAGACGAGAAAGAACTGGAGAAGATCACAAAATACAAAGACCTACAAATAGAAATAGAAAGACTGTGGCAAAAGCAAGCAAGGGTAGTACCAATAGTCATAGGCTCCTTGGGTGCAATCCCAAAACAACTGGAGCACCACTTGAACACCATTGGCATTGACAAATTCGCTATTAGTCAATTGCAAAAGGCGGCCTTACTAGGAACTGCTTCCATCCTGCGACGATATCTGTAATACCATCAAACATCCACATCTGCCTATCCCAGGTCCTGGGTAAGGACTCGATAGGTAGACAAAATGCCAAATCCAGTCTGAACATCTGGCTGACTGTGCGATGATCAATAATAATAATAATAATAATAATAATAATAATAATAATAATAATAATAATAATAAAGTTGGAAGGGACCTTGGAGGTCATCTAGTCCAACCCCCTGCTCAGGCAGGAAACCCTATACTGAACAAATGGTCGTAACTATATTATAAAAATGGTATCATTGAATGATCTTTTATCAACTTTGCAATTGACTTGCTGACCTTTATTCTTTAGCTGAGGGAGATGTCACAATTCGGTATTAAATGTTAAAAAAAAACCAAAATCCTAACTTCTCCAAAGATTTATGGGGGGGGGGGAATAACATGATTTTCACTCTGGAGAAGATGGCTCCGTTCATTTCTTTTCTTGGAACAAAAGGAGGAAATTTTTTTTAAAAAATTATTTAAAAATAATAATAATAATGGCTTCAGTTGGATATGAAAAACTCAGGTAGTACATTTGCCGTCCAAATGTTATGTTTAGCGTTAAAAGGGTATAATCTGTCCATGACATATCCGCATGAAAAATGCTGTTTGATTTTGTAACCCCCGTGCCAAATTATTTTCTTATTCCTTTCCTTCCTTCCTTTGTTTATAACTTTCCCAGCAGACAAATTCCAAAATTAATCAAAGATAATCATCTCTTTCTTCTTCTTCTTCTTTTCTTTTGGAGTCACTTTTGATCCCATTTGTATTTTTTACAATTAGGAGTCTTCTGTGGAAACTTTCCGTTTCCTCAAAGCAACCTTCTCTTTGACGTAGTAGAAGAACATCTTGCAGATTCTCTGCGCCATCCAAGAGGCGGGAATAAGCAACTGGCATTTCATAAGAATGAGGTATCTTCCAGAAAAGAAGGTTCCTCTAAGACCTGGCGTGCTTACTAAGCAGGACATCAAGCGATGACTAAGGACCTTCTAGAGATGCTCTCCTCATTTGTCCACAATCAAAATATTGGCTGCGCTGAACTGACTCAACCTGAAACCGTCTTTTTTTTTTAAAAAAAAAGCCAGTGGTTTCCAGCATCCCCTGCCGAAGAGATGCCAAACATCATGCCAGCCCAGACTGGGTGGGAAGTGGTTTTTAGAAATGGCTACCCACAAAAGAAGTCCATCATCAGGGATCCCTTGACTCAGCTCCAACGTTGAAAAGATTCAAACGTGCACGTCTGAAGAAGATTTCAGAAGGTGGGAAAATGGTCTGCAGACAAAATCCTCTGGAAATTTAAAAGTAAGTAGCCTTTTGTTCTATTCACAACTGTACTGGCCCATTCACAGAAATATTTCAAATCTAACCTAAGGTGCTTTCTCTATACCTGATCCTGATGATGGTGGTGGTGATTATGATGTTCTCCAGTCACGGCCAACTATGGGCCAGGTCTCTCCATGTCTTCTGACCTTGTGCTACTCCTTTGAGTAGTTCTACGCTCTGGCTGGTGTCAGCTTTGAAGGTGTACCTGATCCTAATCAGTATGTTTGTTGATGTTCACCACCAAGGTGGATCCTCTCTTTCCTAAAATTTCCCTGTTTTCCAAGGTCCCCGGTTTGTTCTTTAAAAAAAATAATTTGTATAATTCCTACAGGAGGGTCCATGGGAAATAACATTTCTCGTGTGTTCCTATGGTATGTTTAGATGTTAAACCTGGAATCTAAACATCTCTCTGAAACTTCCTTCACGGGACCCTGCCTGTGTGTGGAATTGGTGCTTCGTGGTTTCATAAAACACAATTCATTTCTGGTGGAATTTGCAAAATGGATGGCTTGGTGATAAACAAGGAAGGAAGGAAGGAAGGAAGGAAGGAAGGAAGGAAGGAAGGAAGGAAGGAAGGAAGGAAGGAAGGAAGGAAGGAAGGAGATTAAGCATCACAGCTGCTCTTTTTATTCATTTATTGTTTGGATGCATTTGTTGTTTTAATGATTTGTTTTAATTGTTTTACTATTTTAGAATTGTAAGCCACCCAGAATCACTTGGTTGAGTTGGACAGCTATAGAAAGTGAATGAATAAATAAAAAATTAACACCTGTCAAAAAAAGGAAGGAAGGAAGGAAGGAAGGAAGGGAGGGAGGAAGGAAGGAAGTTCTTATCTAGGCACTAGAGTGAATTCTTCTCACGAGCCCGCAGAAGGATTTCTCCCTTCTGCTTTGACAAGCAAATGCCTGCAGCAGCGCCCAGTGGTAAACGGGTAACTTGTGCAGGATTTCTTATCTCTGCAGCCTTCCTCCTTCTCTTCCCCCCCCCTTTAACCCTTTGTCTTCTCACCGATATGAGGCAGACCCTCAAGTTTATTTGGAAACCAGAACCATAAATAAGTGAAGCTATGAAAGAGAGATTTCTGGTTGCAATCTCAACCTATTTAAGAGAGGGTAAAGCAGATGGGATTAACCCAGGATACAAATATATAGAGAGAGACCTAACATTCTCTTCTTTTCTCCCCACTTTGAGACAGACCCTTAATCTTGAAAACAGTACATCAAATCTCACGGTTCCTATTTTCACACCCAAATCCAGGACTATACATTTCCCCTTTCAGCTACATTCTGCACTTCTATATCAGTGATTAAGAACCAACACATTAAAAAAAAAAGGTAATTCCTAGGCTAGATTAAACCCCAAACCACCCTGTGGCCATGATCGTGGTCTTTCCATCTGGACTAAACATGTGCAGTGAACACAGCTGTGACAGATGTTAAGTCAGGTTTCCTGGCTGTCTGAATCCAGCCGAAACAACCCTTAACCCTTGCGGGAATCGCTGCACCATTAGATGTTTAGTAGGCATCAGCACCCTATAGTACAGAGCTTTCCTGAAAAAATGTGACTAATCTCTAGATAGTCTCTAAAGAGAGCCACAAAAATGAAGAAAACACAAGAACTGACAAACTCTTGACAATTTCTTCCCCACCCCTTTTTCGGATGACTATGTTAACAAATTCAAATCCTAATTTAAAGGGCTGAAAAGCAAAGGCAGTTCTTGAGCTGAGTTGAGCTGAAGGCCGTGTTGCTTTCTGGAAAACCGTAGGGAAGTATTTTGCCATTGAGATCTTTAAAGTTCCTTTCCCCCCCCCTCCACTTCTAGTTTTGAGATTTACTGGTGGCCTCCCATCCTGAAGGCACCCAACTCTTTTTTATTTATTTATTTTTAGCCAAAGTTGGGCCCCTGCTACGGCAGTTAAATGGTCCACTAAAAGAGTTGATGCTTTACAAGATTGATACAAATGAGATGGCTTCAGAAATTAATCAGGGGAGAAATTAAAACCTTGGTTTTTTCCGCCCCCCCCCCCAAATCTGGTCCATGAAGAAGGTATGAAGCACACGCAGATTGTGTGCTGTTCTTGTGTTGTTGTGTTTTTTTTTTTTTTTGTGGTGTTGTTGAGATGTTTATTATGATGCTCTCAGTGGATTTCTTTGTTTTTATTGCAGTGTCTTCTTCTACAATCTTTGTGAGTGTTAGCTGCTCAGAGGCTACAGGGATGCAGGATACACCGATATAGTAAGTAAATATTTTGGGGTCTGGAAAGAAATGAAACAGACAAAGAGAGATGCGTATTTCCCCTTTGTGTTGGCTCTTGGGAGTGGCGCTCCACCCCCCCCCCAAATTTGTGGAAGATGGTAGTGTTCAGTGACAGGATCAAGATTCAGCTGGAAGCTTCAGCTGCCAGAATAAGAGAGCAAATAGTGTCTCAGAGCATGTGCAGAGCGCCTTGAATTTTCTCACCCCATCAGTTCTCTGCTTCCCCTTGCATCCGTGTGCATGTGCGCACACACACAGACACACACACACACAGGTATGTTCACATCTTTGGAGGATTCTAGTGGTAGTAGGAGAGGGGTTTTTGAAACGAGCTATTCTTTCCAACGTAGTGGGAGACAATCGGCGGACGTCGGCCTGAAGACCCCACCCCAAAGGCCAAGAAAAACGAGACCTAGTCCCGCATCTCCCCGTCCCCACATCCTTGACACCCGAGTTACTCCTTTCCCTTCCTCAACATCCACATCTTCCCTTCCCCCCCCCCCCTTTCATTCCTGCATCAGCCCCGGCTTAAGATCGCGCAGCTCTTTCCCCACCCCATCCCACCCTCACCACGCATTCATACGTGCTGCCCGAGCGTTGCCACCCCCCACCCACCCTCCCCACCCGGCTTCAAAACCAGGGTTTCCATCCCCCCCCCCGCAATTCGGAAAGAAACCCAGGCTAGGCTGCGGCGCCCCTCGCCCTCTCCGGGCAAAGTTCCCCCGCCCGCAACGGCGGGGCGTGCACGCATCCTCCCCTGCCTTCACACGCGCGCGGCAGAACCCGCATCTTTTCCGAACCCGCTTTCTGCAACAGCCCCCCCCCCCAAAATACCAAACCCGGAGCCCAAACCTGACCCGTTGCGTTTGTCTGGCCATAGGGCGGAGGGGGGGAAGGAAAGAGCCCCCCATGAATCGGAGGGATGGGGCGGGGGGGAGCGGCGCTAGGACCCAGTCCCCGGCCGGCGGGCCCCACGGCTTCCCTGGAGGGCCGGGCGGGGCAGGGCAGGGGAGGGGAGGGCCGCTCCGTTGACACTTGGCTGCCGCGGAGGGGGCGATACTTAACTTGGGCTCCGGCGAGCGCGGCGCGGCAGACGCGCGCTGGCTGCAGAGCGGAGCGAGGCGCGGGGAGGAACCGCCGCCGTCGCCTGTCGCCGAGGCCGAGGGAGCGCGCCCGGGGAAAGCAGACGCCAGCCAGCCGGCCAGCCGCGATCGCAGCCCAGCCAGCCAGCCAGCCTGCCTGCCTATCGGCCGGGCGCCACAGCAGAGCCGCGGAGCGTCTGAGCCCTGCAGCCGCAACCGCCGCTTCCTCCGGCTCTTCTCCAGCCTGCGAAGCTCAGCCCCGGGACCCGGACGGCGCCCATCGCGATCCTGAGCACTGAGCCCTGCGCCCACCCGCCCGAGCCGCCGCCGGATCCGGGCAGAGTTGGGGGGGGATTTGGCTTTCATCCACCCCCTTCCGAAGACGCGGAGCCCCCCCCCCACTCCCCATTTCTCTCCAGGAAAGGCGCTTCTCTTCACACACACACACACACACACACACACACACACAAACACACACACACACACACACACACACGCACAGCCGCCTCCGCCGCCTCCGAAGCACCGGGATCTTGTCGTCTCCGCCACCGGCTGGATTTGCAACCGGGCGCCCGCGATGCTGAACGGCAACCCGCCGGGATCAGGGCGCTGAAAAGCCCGGAGGCAGTTCGCCGGCCTCGCTGCCGTCCCCCCCACCCCACCCCACCCCACCAAGCTCGGCGATGAAGCCCCGCTTTGCACCGGGGACGCGGCTTTCCTGGGGAGTCCCCGGCCCTTCCGATTTGAGGAGCTAAAAGAAGAGAAGGGAGGCACGGGGGAGAGAAGGGGGGGGACAAAAAACAGCCACCCCCAACTGAAAAGTTGGAAGAGACCCCCCCCTCCCCTTTCTTCCCAAAACTGGGAGCGTTTCTCGGGACCTGAGAGTCTCTGACTCCCATCCTCCTGCTGCTCCTTCCCCCGCAACCCCCCCCCCGGCCCTTGCTGTCGCCAAGTCTTTCCCCTCTTTTTCACGGCTTCCCCATCTATAAAAGAAGGTTTTATTCTGGGCCTCCCATCTCACGCCAAACTCTGTCATGCAGTCTAGACATGTTGCCGTGGGTCTAAGTCCAGCTGTCACCATGGGGATGGACTCGGGACCGCTGTGAATTTTGGGGGAGAGAGAGGGAGAGAGAGAGAAAGGAGGGGAGAGAAAGAAGAAGAGGAAGGAGGGTGCTTTTAAAAAAAGGAACCGTTGCCCTTTGGGGTCTGAAGAGGGGGACCACTGCTCCTTGACACCCCCTCCCACAAAGGCCATTGGTTTGTCCCCACTCTCTCCAGCCCCACCCCACCCCGGCACCCCATGTTTTTCTTGCTCTTCCCCCTGCAAGCTGCACAAGGAGCAGCAGCAGCAGCAGCAGCAGCGTAAAAAGCGATCTGGCCTGCACATCTGTCACCTAACCCCTGGGCGAGCTATTTAAAGCCAGGGGCCTTGTTGGATTTTGTCTCAACCTATCTATGCAGTGCTTGGACTTGGCAAGGGGGTCTGCGGAAGAATAACTCCCCCCCCCTTGGGAACAATCGGAAGAGACAGAGAGAGAAAGGCAGCAGCAGCAGCAGCAGCCGTTGGCCGCCCTCCTTCCTTGCTCGGGCTGGGCTGGGCAAACAATCTCCAAGGGATCCCTGGCTGGGGGACCGAGAGCATGAAGGCCCCGCAAGCGCTCCTGGTCTGCTCTTCCTTGGCGCTGCTGCTTCAGCCGGGCTCCTTCCAGCCCTACCTTCGGCTCCGCCCTTCCCCGAGCGACAACCTGCCCATCAAGGATATTATCGAGCATCCGGATCCCGAATATGACCCCAAGGAGCAAGACTTGGACGACCGGACTTTACGCAAGAAGCTGGGCAGCCATTTTGACCCCAACTTCATGTCGGTGGCAGCGCCAGCTCAGGGAAACCTCTCCAGCTTGGAGCCTTTGCACAAGTTCAAAGGTCAGGGAGCTCTACCCGGCGAGCTGAAGAAGCTGGACCTAGCCGAGACGCCCTATAGGACCAAGGTCAAGATAGGGAAAAAAGCCAGGCGAAAATTTCTCCAGTGGCTTTGGGCGTACACCTACTGTCCGGTGATGTATACCTGGAAGGACCTGGGCAGCCGGTTTTGGCCTCGGTACATCAAGGAAGGGAACTGTATGGCCGAGCGGTCCTGTTCCTTCCCCGAGGGGATGGCCTGCAAGCCGGTCAAGTCGGTCACCAAGACCTTCTTGAGATGGTACTGCCAAGGATGGTCCAAGCAGAAATACTGCACGTGGATCCCCGTTCAGTATCCGGTGATTTCAGAGTGCAAATGCTCCTGTTAATTATGGGAGGGGGGGAGACGGAGGACTTGGGGGGGGGACATTTCCTCCTTCCTCCCCCCGGATGGATGCAGCCTGCGTGATGCAGATGGGGCTCTCGGTCCAGAGAGCCTGAGCTGGAAGCCCCCGCTAATGCTTTGGGGTGTGGGGGAAGGAGGAGAGGACGTGAGGCTACACCAGATCCTACACCGGGATCCGCCCCGAAGGCTGAAGCATCATCGGGGAGAAGGTGGCTAGGAACTCAAGCCATCTGGGTTGACGGACTTGACAGGTGCCAATCATCCTCCAACACCCCCCCCCCAGCGAAGCTTCGGAGGGTTGAATTGAAAAAATGTTTAGGGAGTCTCATGTTGACAAAGAGACTACAGACACTTCGCTTTATCGTTTCTCTGTCCTCTTTCCCCAAAACCCTTTGCACTGTTATTTTTTTTTACCCTGCCTCTCTCCCTGCTTCCCTCCTTCCCTCCCTCCTTTCCCCTTCTCTCTTTTTTAATTATTTTATTTTATTTGAAATGGGAAAAAAAAAAACCCCGGAGGAACTGCAGTGCAGGCCGTGAGGAAGGAAAAAAAAAAAAAAGCTAAGCACTACACTGAGATGTCTATTTTTATACGTATATAGCGTTCTAACAAAATTTAGAATCGCCACCCGCTGTACATATAGAGAGTTTTAAAGAAGGAGGGAATCCTGTTGTGGGGTTTTTTTTTGTGTTGTTGTTGTGTGCGTGTGTGTGTGTTTTTAAATTCTTGTTAATAATAATAAGAAAAAAAAAACAATGCAGGACCACATATTGAAACTTCAACCATTTTGAAATTGTGCAGTTTCCTTTGTCATATAAGAAAGAGAAGATATTTTCCTACAATGCTGGTTTATAATGCCCGATCCTTAGAGCTCCTTTAAAATGCCCTGATTTCTGATTCCTGTGCTCCTGGTTGTTTGTTTTGCCTTTTCCAAACTTGTTACTGAATCTTCAGACAAATTTTCAGAGTTGTCTAGGGTTGTGTTTTTTTTTTTTAAAATGTATATTGAATAAGGATATTTTGTTTTGTTTTTTAAGTATATGTTGTTATGAAAGAGTGATTTTTGGGGGGGAGGGGGAAATACATATAGTAATGTAGAGATGTTAAAAGAACTTTCTCGTGTACAGTTTATTTATTTTTAACGTTTGTGTATAGAAGGGCGGAGAGGGAAAGCTAGAGATATTGAAAATGTTTACTTGAATATCCTTGGGACAACATATCAGTGTACATATCAGCCGTGACTGAGCAAAACATTTTTAGCAATAAACTCTATCTTTGAAGAAGATGTTTTAAAGATCTCTGAGAAATATAGTAGCAAAAATCTAAGTACAGCATGAAATAACCAAAACGGGGTGTCTTGAATAAGGATCTAAGACATGTTAACCAAACACTGCAATAAAATACATACAAGTAGTCCTTGACTTACAACCACAAAGGAGCCCAAAATGTTTGTTGCTAAGAGAGATGGTTAAGTGAGCATTGCCCCCCCCTTTACAACCTTTCTTGCTCCAGTTGTTAAGTGGAGGAGTGCAGTTGTTAAGTTAGTAACACAGTTGTTAAGTTGGCTTTCCCATTGACCTTGCCTGTCAGAAGCTCGCAAAAGGAGATCACATGACCCTGGAACACTGCAACCGTCCTAAGTACATGCCAGTTGCCAAGCGTCTGAATTTTGATCACATGACGCTGCAAACGGTCATAAGGGTGAAAAAGGGTCCTAAGTCGCTTTTTCAGTTGCACCTCTGAACGGTCGCTAAATGAACTGTTGTCAGCCAAGGACTACCTGTAATGACTTTATAAGACTACATTTTAGACACTGGGTTATCGGAACTGTCTCCCGTGACAAGTGGCTTTGCACATTTGCCGTATGATGAAGGGCTGAGCTATGAAAAGTCCTGGACAAAATCCGCCCCCCCCCAATTGTGGGACAGATGTTTTAAAAATCGGGAACGTATCCCCATTCTTGAAAGTTAATTTGCCAATGTTGGAAGGATATCGGAGACACCTTTGACTTCTAACAAATGGTTGCTGTTACTAATCTTGTGAGTGTGTGTGTTCACTGGAAAAGTGCATCCCAATCTTGCTTTGTTTCCTCTTTGGTGTCAGTGAAACAAATCTTTGTAACTCCTATTAATGGGAAAAGGAAATGGGTTTCAACTGAATCCCTGGAGTCTGAGGTCTGACTGATGACTGTTAGCCAGGTTGATTGCTGGAACACCTGCTAAGTTGATCTCATCCCAATTTCTGCTTTGACTCCCTAAATTCCTTGTCTCGTTTCAAAAGTGCAGTTGAATGCATTAGGAGCCTAGCATAATTTTCACCCTCTTAAGTTCAAAAACTGTCCACCTGCATTCTCCCGGAAGCTGCATCTGTTATTTCTATTTATTTGTCCCCAGTTCTCTGCCTTTTCATCAAGTTTGCAATTTGTGCATTGAAAAAAAAAATACTAGTGGGACAGGAGAGGACAGTCTTGGTGGTAGAGATGCCCTGTAGGATTAAATTGAGATTGTTTGGGGGCAGTTTTTTTAAAATTATTTAATGCACACACCAGAGAGAAAAATACACGCGGCTAAAATCGATCTGGAAAAAGAACGTTGTTATCGAGAGTCTGTTCTTGCGATATTTTACAGGGGATTATGTGCTTGTCACTCAACATGTAAACCTCGGTGCAACCGTATCCTAAAGACCACATCTGGCTTTTGGCTTTCAGTATGTCATCAGTGTATATATTTTGCAACAATTATCATGAAGAGGGGGATAGGAAATGAAAGTGAACAAGAGCAACTACTTGAATTTGAATCCAAGTTCTTACTTTTTACAATTAAGGAGAGGGAGAAAAAAAGGCAGGGAGGGAGGGAAGAAGGAAGAGAAGAAAGAGAAGGAAGGGAGGGAAGAAGGAAGGAAGGAAGGAAGGAAGGAAGGAAGGAAGGAAGGAAGGAAGGAAGGAGAAAGAAAGAAAGAGAGAGAGAGAGAAAGAAAGAAAGAAAGAAAGAAAGAAAGAAAGAAAGAAAGAGAAAGAAAGAAAGAAAGAAAGAAAGAAAGAAAGAAAGAAAGAAAGAGGGAGAGAGAAAAAAAAGAAGAGCAGTTTGGTCTACAGAAGTTCAAACTCAACTTTAAGGGGTGTGGATTTCAACTCCCAGAATTCTCCAGCCTTTACTGGCTAGGGAATTCTGGGAGTTGATGTCTACCCCTGTTAAAGTGGCCTAGTTTGAAGTACACTGCTCTAGAGGTGAAGGTACTGGATTACAAACTAAAAAGATCTGAAGTCTAGTCCTGCCTTGGGCACAAATCCAGCTGGGTTGACTTAGTGTGTTTCACCACTAGGAAGAAGGCCCTTGAGTGGCAATCTACTTACAGGAAATCTTGCCGGGAAAACCGCAGGGACTTCTCCGGCCATCCCCAGCAGTCAAAAATGACTCGACGGCACTGTTTGAGAGAAAGATCACAGATACGTCTCACGGATAAGTCAAGTTCTGTCGGGTAAAAAAAACATAGGGCACGTTTGTCCTGCCCCTAACAGCATAGCAAAATCCAAAACGAAACCAACTCTTATTAGAACATAGAATAATAGGACTGGAAGGGACCTTGGAGGTCTTCTAGTCCAGCCCCCTGCTCAAGCAGGAGACCGTATACCATTCCAGACAAACAGCTGTCCAGCCTCTTCTTAAAAACCTCCAGTGATGGAGCGCCCACAACGTCCGGAGGTAAGTGGCTCCATTGATTAATTCTTCCGAAACTTTCTCCTTAATTCTAGGCTGGATCTCTCTTTGATATAAGCTTCCCCCTGTTCCATCTTGCCCTCCCCTCAGTGCTTTGCAGAGTAGGTGCGTCCCCTCTTCTCTGTGACAATCTCTCAAGTATTGGAAGGCCGCTAGTTTGTCTTCTGGCGAATCTCCAGAAGAATCTTGGATCAAGGAAGACCTGAAATTCTAGCATTCAATTATTTGGGACTTCCTGTTAAGGTGTGTGTGGGGGGGTCTTTGAGAGCTATCTGGTCTCCTTTCTCGCAGAACACAAGACCAAAGGGCTAACCATCCCCTTTACAGATACAATGACCGTGAAATATTCATCTGCATGGCGTTTTTAATATTTTGACTGATTCCCATTTCTTCTGCCACCCCACAGGGTTCTCTTTCAATGCCACCCCCTTCGCTGTACCTCTCTGTCACTTTTTTCCATCCTTGCTTCCATGGTTCATATACAGGTAGCCTACGCCTTAACGGCCACAAAGGAGCCCAAAATTTGTGTTGCCGAGTGAAACAAGTTGTCAAATGCATTATGACCCGTTTTACGACCTCTCTCACCACCGTTGTTAAGCAAATCGCTGCAAGTTGTTACGTTAGGAACTCTAACTTGCATCCCATCCTCTTTCTAACATTTGCGCCAAGTGTTTGCGTTCTCAGCCAACCATGTGGTGTTATCCACACACATCCTGAACGTTCATTACTCCAATAGCACACCTATAAATTCATCACAAGCATTCCTGGTGCGTCCCAAAGGTGCTTTTTTCAAGAGGCAACTGGACCTCCGTTTTTCTTTGAAGACGTTTCTTTTCTCATCCAAGAAGCTTCTTCAGCTCTGACTGGATGGTGGGGAATGGAAGGATTTATACTCTTTGCAGACAGCTGGTCATTTGCATTCTTTCAGAGAGTCGTTGAGGCCACTTGGAGATTTATCTGTGTCCTCAGGGTCACCTGAGTGGTGCACCTGAGTGAGATAGTGAATCTATCTCCAGTCTACAACACAGTCCTTTCAGCAGTTCCGAGAAGGCTCCACACCCATTTGCACCACTCAGGTGATCTTGAGACCACAGGTAAACCTCCAAGTGGCCTCAACCACTCTCTGAAAGAATGCAAATGATCAGCGGTCTGCAAGGAGTATAAATCCTTCCATTCCCCACCATCCAGTCAGAGCTGAAGAAGCTTTTTGGATGAGAAGCGAAACGTCTTCAAAGAAAAAACAAAGTCTAGTTGCTTCCTGAAAAAAAGCATCTTTGGAACAACCATGACCTGGATGACTGAGAATCTCCAAAAACATTCCTGATGCATTGTCCATAAATATACTAAACTACGAATGTTCGTTCTTTCAATCATTAGGCAAACATGTAATCTTCACACAAAGAGACAGACACACACACACACACACACACACACTGATAGGTAGTCTTCAACTTAGGACAGTTGGGATCAGAACATCCATTGCTAAAGAAGTAGTTGTTGAGTGAGCTGCCAGTTTCCTGCTCTTTGTTAAGCAAATCACACAATTGTTAAGTGAATATGCCTCCCCCCCCCCAACTGATTTTGCTTTTTGGAAGCTGCAAATGGAGACCATACTACTCTGGGACTCTTGCATCCATCATAAATACATGCCAGTTGCCAAACACCCAAATTAGGATCATGGGGATGCTGCAACAGTTATAAGTGCTAGGACTGGTTCTAGGTGACGTTTTCAACCTTATTGTAACGTTGAACAATAAGGTACCTCTTGACTTACGTCAAGAGGTACCTGTAATGTTGTAACAGGTACCTCTTGACTTACAGCCACAAAACAAATGGCTGTAAGTCAAGAGGTACCTGTTGGACAGTCATTCCATAATAGATGGATAGATAACTTTTATTGTCATTTTTTTTTAACTGGCACAGATTAAAAATGAAATCCTGTTGCTTGCTCTCAAAATTATACATGTACGTAACACACATATAAACATGCTACATGCAATATATGTCTGTACCTCCGCTCTTACATATAAACATATAGATATTAATCAGTCCATCTTGAATACGTAGCGGAAGGAGGAAATGTGAGGGTTCTCAAGGTTAATACTGTATTAACTAAGCACCTCTGTATTTTAGCATTTCTCCACTGACACATTCTACAACTGCCCTGATCCTTTTTGAACATTTGCATAGATGCAAATCTTTTATTTCAAGTCATACCCTCGGCTCAGTTGGGATACCCAGGACTTCCTCCATATCATCCCAGGGAGAACTTGATCTAAACCAATTAGCATATTCCTTTCCTGTGCTGGGATCCATACTAGGCTGATCCGATAATATTGAAAAGACTTCAGGAAGAAGGAATGTTGCAAAGCCCCTGAGATTGTGGGATTCGCCTTGCCCAAGGCTGTCTTTGCAATTCAAATGGTGCAGATATTAGTCCCAGAACTGACAAATCTTATTTATCTGAATTAAATTGAAATGTAAATGCAGCTGGCCATCTCACTCTCTATAGGTGTAGGGGGAAGGTGGAGTGGCCTTGAGGAACAAGAAGAAGAGGCGTTACCAAGAC